GGAACCCCAGCACTCCAGAGGCTGGGGCAGGAGGATCAAGAATTTCAGGCTAGCCTGGGCTACATAGTGAGACTCTGTCTCAAATAACAAAATAAATAAATAGCCCAGGCTGAGCTCAAATTTTCAGTCCTCCTGCTTGAGCCTCCTAGAGTGCTGGCATGATAGGCTCCTAAACTTTACTTAACAGAAGCAAATCTGACTCCAGACATCATGTACCAAGACTGATGCATAAAGGAGGCCAGAGGAAAGGCCTCTGGCCCTCCACCTTTCCTGTCCTGAGAGTCCCCGGGGGAGGGCTAGTGCCCCACCTCGCAGATTGTACTCTCCCTACCATGGGAGGGTCACCTCTCTCCAGGGCTGGTGACATAGGAACCCTCTAGTTCTTTGCCTCTGGAACTTAGACTTTGTGTGTGTGTGTGTGTGTGTGTGTGTGTGTGTGTACACACTTACATGTACATAGCACCAGAATTTGAATCTAGGGCCTTTGCACTGAACTATATCACCAGCCTGTTCTTTAATTTTTAATTTTGAGTCAAGGTCTTGCTAAATTGCTTAATTACCCAGGTTAGGCCTAAACTTGGCATCTTCCCACCTCAGCCTTCCAGATGCTGGGATTATAGACGTGCACCACCATACCCTGCTGAATTTAGGCTTTTATTCAATAATAAAAACCTCCAAAGACATCTGAGTTGCCCTGGACATCCTCTTTGCCCTCTCACCCTCAGTTTCCCTGTGCACCCTCTTTCTCTTAAGGACAAGGGCAGGAAAATAAGACTCAGAGAATTTCTAAATCAGGTTCTTTTGCCACTTGGTTCATTATAAGCCAGTGAGTCTTCAAAGAGCAAACGTCGATGGACAGGACACAGAGGCGTGATGCCCTGGCCAGGCACAGCATGACTGTCTTTGTTTGGGCCACTACAAAACATTCCAGATGGGCAGTTTAAAGAACAAAAGTTGTTTGTTTTTTTACTGTTGTCACTGAGACAGGGTCTTGCTCAATTGGCAGGCTGACCTCTAGTTCACAATCTTCTGCCTCGGCCTTCTGAGTACAACAGGAACTTCTTTCTCACAGTGCTGGTGGGCCGGAAGCCTCAGATCAGAGAGCCAGCATATTCGGGTTCTGAGTTACAGGCAGTCAGCTTCTTACTGTGTCCCCACATGGCAAAGACACAGACGCTCTCGTGTCTCTTCCTCTTCTTGGAAGGGCACCGGTCCCATCTTGGGGGCTCTACCCTAATCTAGTCCCAGCAATCTCCTGTAGATAGACCCTACCTCCTAACACCGTACACCAGGAACAGGGCTTCAGCCTGTGAATTCTGGGGACACAAACACCAGCCAGCCTGCAGCATCCCCACATTGTTGCAAAGCTCATCCTGATGCTGGGAAGTGAGCCCCCAGAAGTGTTTGGCCCTCCCCCTTTTAACAAGCATTTCCTGAATGCTTACTTACTATGTACCACGTGCTGAAATAGCTGGCGAGGATGCAGTAGTGGAACCAGTACAGCAGAAGCGACTGCTCAAGTAGCTCAAGGGCCAGTAGAGGGCACTGTGTCACAGGGGCTTTCTGCTATCTTTTGCCTTTGCTAATGAGTTTGCTGACTCCTATCGCTGAAGAATTCTCAGCACATGTCAGTAGGAGGCACAGAAAAGATGTAGCAGAAAAAAGTTCACACTCAGAAGGGAGTGTGGTGTTCATAGAATGGCTGGATTATGGTCTGGAGCTGGTATATTTATGTGTTTTGAGGAGAGGAAAGCTGCAATTTGAAAAGTGATGGTCCATTCACTGGTGAAAGGACCATTTTACAAGAGAAAATTACAGGCCCAATCTGCATTTTTTTTAAGATTTAGGAATTTAGGAGTAACTTGGAATGGGAAAAAAATAATTGTAACCTTGGGAAACTTCTTTTGCATCCTGAAGTTGCAGTTTTTATTTTATTTATTAATTGGTTTTTTTGAGGTACAGTCTTGGTATATCGTTCAGGCTGGTCTTGAACTCATTATGTAGTCTAGGCTGGCCTCAAATTGATGGCAATTCTCCTGCCTCAGCCTCCCAAGAGCTGGGATTACAGGCCTGCACCACCAAGCCTGGTTGAAGCTGCAGGGGTTTTTTTGTTTTGTTTTTGTTTTAGTTTTTGAGACAGGGTCTCACTATATAGTTCAGGCTAGACTTAAACTCACTGTGTAGTCGCTATGGTTTTGAATTTGTGGCGATCATCCTGCCTCAGCCTTCCGAGTGCTGGGATTATAGATGTGTGTGCCACCACACACCACATACTGCCTATTGGCTTTTTTGAGACAGGGTCTCACTATATAGTTGAGACTAGCCTTGAAGTCACTATGTAGGCCATGCTGGTCTTGAGCTCAAACAACCTTCTTGCCTATGCCTTGAATTTGTAGTGATCCTCCTGCTTCAGCCTCCCAAGTGCTGAGATAGCAAGTGTGCACCACCATACTTGGCTTTGTTGGGCTTTCTTTTTGGTTTTTGTTTATTTGTTCTGTTTTTTGAGACAGGGTCTCACTATGTAGTGCAGGCTAGTGTTGAACTCAATATGTTGCCCAGGCTGACACAAACTCCCAGTGATCCTCCTGCCTTGGCCTCCCAAGTGCTGGGATAGCAGGAGTGTGCCACCATACCTGGCTCTCTTTCATTTTTGAAGGTAACATATTTATGTTCATGTCCATTAGCTGTGTTACAGTTGATTGGGTCAGTAATAGTCCCGGTTTTTGTATACGACAAAGAAAGAATTGCCAAGCCTACACCCAGTAGTAAGTACTAAGTAGCTATGGTTACTGAAGATCCCCGGAAAGATAGCAGTAGCAATAGGAAAAAGAGAAAAGAGGGGACACAATCAGCTTCTCACTGTGCCCCCACATGGCAAGGACACAGAAGCTCTGGTGTCTCTTCCTCTTCTTGGAAGGGCACCAGTCCCATCTTGGGGGCTCTACCCTTATCTAGTCCCAGCAATCTCCTGTAGATAGACACGCTTTCAGAATGTAAAGGCCAGGTACCTCTGGCTTTAGGTGCCTGAATCTCCCTTGGTGCCAGTGGTCTGCCATCTAGGGTGTAACGATAGCCTAGGCTGTTATCTCATTTTGTGCCCATCTTAGTATTACAGACAGCTAAACCATGTAGAAATATTATAGGCAGTCAGATAGGGCTAGGTCTTTGAGAGAATCCAGGCAGAGATGAAAACTCGTTACAACTGTGGCCAGAGGCACATCTGTTGGAGGCCAGGCCTCAAAATGAACAGGGAAAGACCAGGCCAGAGATAAGCTGTAACACCTGGTCTAATGAAATCTAGATAGACATCACTCACATAGGTGGGTGGCCAAAACCTTGGACTCATGACTTCTTAAAAAGTTCTTCGTTCTTTCTATATACACTTGTTACGTAACTTCTTTCCCCATTGGATCACTCTTACCTACGCAACTATACTTACAACCTTATTGGTTGTTCATAGCTTTAACCCACATTTTACCCACGTAGTTTTTGCTCTATAAAACTTCCTCTGAAAAGTGGGGTCCTTGGCAGCCCACTTTTGGGTCCCCTCCTGCCTCTCAGGAGCTGTACTTCTCCTCAATAAATATTCCTACTCTTTTTAAATTTTTTTTTTGTTTGGTGCCACGAATTAAACTCAGGACCTTGCGCTTGCCAAGCAGGCGCTGCACTGCTGAGCTACATCCCCAGCCCAATATTCCTACTCTTAACTTCTGTTGTTCCTAAAATTCATTCTTCAATTTTAGAGGACACAAACTCTGCATGTCACACATTTAGCAGGTTGGGACTTATAATATTTCCCTTATAGAGATCCTAATATCTTTACTCTCCTATTAGGATAAGGAAGCAGGAGTAACTGTTGGGTGCTGTTTAGAGTGAGATGGTGGGAAAGGAGTGACTTACTCAGCTCCTTTGTCTCTAACTATACTAGCTGCACATGTGTGTGACGGTTACATAATTGGGCCTAGACTAGCCACTGGTTGTTTTGTTTTGCTTTATTGTGGCACTGGATAGTGAACCAGGGCCTTTGTACTGTACTACATTCCAACTCTTTTCTTTAAAAAAAAATTTATTTTTGAAACAGAGTCTTGCTAAGTTTTCCAAGCTGGGCTCAATCCTTCATCCTCCACGCTTCAGTTTCACAAAGTTCTGCAATCCTGGCTGCCCAACACGCCCGCGCACTATTCCCTGCGTTTGGTTTACACGCTGTCACAGATAGGGGTCAGGCAAAGCAGTGCTTCTAGAGCCCAGAGGAAGATCTTGGCCTTGGAGGCTATTGCCCTAAAAGGATTCAGTTTCTAAATCCTGAAGCCTCAGGTCTCAAACCATGCTGAGTCACAATCTATTGATCCTTTAGGTCCGCTGTCACAGCAAGCAGACATTTTCAGACTGCAGTAGTGCTAATGTGAGAGGGGACACCTCGCTTTTTTCATCCTGGGGCGGCCCATAACGAGCGACGCCACTGTTTCCTTGTCCTTTACTTTCCTCTTGGACCAAATTCAATCAGTACTGGCTGTGCGCTTCCAGCAGTCACAACCCTGCCCCGAATGCTGGGACGTAACATAGGAAACATTGTTAGTACTTGTATCCTAGCATAGAGACACATGTTCACAAAGGTTAAAAAAATAACATAAAATACAAACTTCTACATAGGGCACAGTGCACCAGTCAGGGTGGCTTGAGATGACCAGATGCGACCCTACAAGGGGGTCTTTGAGGGAAGAGGGCGTATGGAAGGGGATGAAGAGGGACTTCAAGTAACTATGATGGCAAAGACGGTGACACGTTCAGGCAACCTTGTTTCAAATGCAGATACAAGGCAGGGGGCTGAGGAAAGCCTTAATGATCTGGCTCAGGAGTAGTTCAATATCGAGGTATTTCACTTTGGCAGATAAAAAGCTGGAAAGAACCCTGGCTTCTCTTTTTTAAATAAACCCCAGCTGGGCGCATGCGCCCCGAAGGGTGCCGGAACTGTGTTATCATCGAGATGCGAAGCTAGATCGTCTACTTCCACAGATGTACGACATTTTGGGTCCTGGCAAAAAAAGTTGAAAGCGGCTGAGACCACTCTCAAACTGGAGTGCACCACTCACACCGTCAGAGCAAAAGAGCTTCTCTTGGAGCGACAAAAGCAAGTGGCGGAGAGAATCTGCGATGCGTCCGTAGATAGAACAGCATCGGAAGAGTTGCACACCTCCTTGCCCTCACTTGAGATGGCGACTCTGCGGGAGACTCTAGCCGACTTCCCTCAGACGCCAGGAGGGGGCGCGGCCTCGCGACAGTCGGTTCGGAAGTGGGTGAGGTGTGGGACGCTGTGAGTTTGGACTGAGCACAGGCGCTTCGTTATTCTGGGACGCGAAGGGCTGGGGTCTCGTGCCCCTTGTCTTCTTCGTGTGTTTCTCAGCGTCTCTCCTCACCCAGCGCCTGGCCTCGCGGTCTCCTCGTTGAGAGCCGCTCCCGGGTCCGGCCCCGGGCGGGCGGCTGTCACCGCGCTTCGGGCCGGACGATGCCCAAGAAGCTGCTCCTGCTGCCCCCGCTGAACCCGCACTCGGCCTTCCGCGCCCCGCGAGCCCACCCCGCGGCCCCGCCAGCCATGAACGCCGCTCGCACCGGCTACCGCGTCTTCTCGGCCAACTCCACGGCCGCCTGCACGGAACTGGCCAAGCGCATCACCGAGTAAGCGGCGCCCCCGGGGCCGGGGATGCCCCCTTCGGCGCGGGGCCCCTGCCGGGGCGTCCTCGCACCCCCCCTCCCCCTCCGCGGCCGAGGGCAGCTGGGAGCCGCCTCCTTGGGGGCAGGGGGGGGGGTCGTGCCGTTTCAGAGCTGGACCGACTCCCGGAGGGGCGCGAGCCACCCCTTTCCCCCAGTGTCGCGGCTGAGAGGCTGTGAGCCGACTTAGTGAATTAGCGTCCCCTCAATTCTTTGGGCCATCCCCCTTTTTTCATCGCCGCGCTCCTATCCCAAGGCGGTGGGAGCCTTCCTAACCCTTGGAGAGGGGCGTCTGCCCCGCTCACCCCGGCTGGAGTTGTCCTCTGGCTCTGACCCCCGTGTCCTAATGAGAGGTCCTTGCACAGACCAAAGGTGCGGGCAGGTGGGGCAGGGCAGGGCGGGGGGTCCTTGCACAGACCAAAGGTGCGGGCAGGTGGGGCAGGGCAGGGCGGGGCGAGAAGACAGCCCTAGGGATCGGGCTGGGGGCGGTGATAGGCCAGCCCTGTGTGGAAGTCAGCTTGAGGTTGGATCGGCCCTTCCCAGTCCTTTGACCCAAAGAAGCGTTTGGTCAGAGGTGGCCTTTGGGATCGCACAGCTCTGGGATGCCTTCTCAGGCTTGACAGTTAACAGCTCCGCGACGTCAGGCAGGAGTCCTGATTTTCTTTTCTTTTTTTTATTAGCTCATGTTTGCAGTACATAGTGATTACATTCGTCATCGGGAGTGGGTACACATCTATGGAGCACATCTTGGTTTTCTTACTTCCTCTTCCCCCTCCCAAAACTTGATTTTCCTAAACTGCCTTTGTAAAATGGTCGTGAGTCTGTTTATGGGGACATTGTGCCCCTGACAGAGCTAGTGGAGTGCAAGCGCCTAGAACAATGCAGGCACATAGTGGCCCTGTTTACTAAGAGACCCTTTTTTCTCGTTGCCACTTTTGGAGGAACCCAGAGTCCTACTTGTTAAGAATATAAAACACACAGTGAATGCTTTGTCTTTTAACAAAGTCATTTTCACATTCTAAGCAGTTAATCTAATAAATGATTTCTCCATGAATTTTCAGGGCTGGTCAATAATTGCAGGAAATCATTTTGAGGCAGAGTTTCACTGTGTAGTTTAAGCTGGCTTTGAACTCACTGTGTAGCTCAGGCTGGCCTCAAACTTACGCCAGTCCTCCTGCCTCAGCCTCCTGAGTGCTGGGATTACAGGTGTGCACTCCCACACCTGGTTTGCTTTTTTGTGTTTTTTTTCCTTAGGTTCTTTCTCACTATATTCAAAAGGTTTGAAGCTACTGTAAATGATTTTTGTAAATACTTCCTGATCTGTTTTTTTTTTTTTTTCTGTTTTTTTGTTTGTTTTGTCTTTTCTTTTTGAGACAGGGTCTGGCTATGCAGTTGAGGCTGGCTTTGAGCTCACTTTGTAGCCTCCAGGCTGGTCTTGAACAAAGAACAATCCTCCTGCCTCAGCCTCCCGAGTGCTGGGATTACAGGCGTGTGTCACCACGCCTGGCTCCTTGACCTATTTTATATTGAGTTTCTAGTAAAATTTGGGTGGATATGAGTGTGTATTTTATTTCTGGCTGTACTGAAGGTTGAACCCAGGGTCTTGCATGTGCTGAGCAAACACTGTACCACTGAGCTATACCTGAACCTCTCAGTAATGTTTTACTTGGAGAACAAAGATTTTACTTGAAAAGAAAAAGTTTGAAAATCACCAGAGTGGATGACCCTTGAAGTTACAATTTCTTTTTTTGTTTGTTTTGAGATTGTGATTCGTAGGCCGGTGTGGTGGTGCACGCCTGTAATCCCAGCACTTGAGAGGCTGAGGCAGGAGGATTGCTGCGAGTTTGAGGCCAGCCTGAGCTACAAAGTGAGTTCCAGGCCAGCCTGAACTGCATAGTGAAAACCTGTCTCAAAAAGACCAGGAAAAAAAAAAAAAAGAGAGGTTGTGATTTCTAATTCTTTTTGGATCTGAATTTCAAAAATGGATCTTTAAACTTTTTTGATTACTTTAGCCAACAAAAGAGATGCATTACATTACTTTTCTAGGACATGTATATATATATAAATTAAATATGAGGTTTTTGTTGTTTTGAGACTGTTTCTGTGGCCCACTTTGGCCTTGAACTGGTAAACTTGCCTCATCTGGGATTACAGGCATTGCTTCCACACCCAGCCACATGTGGTTTTTTGTTTTTAGGGTTTTTTTTGCTTTGTTTTGTCTTTTTGAGACAGGATCTCACTATGCAGTTCAGGCTGGTCTTGAACTCACTTTGTAGACCAGGCTGGCCTCGAACTCACAATGATCCTCCTGCCTCAGCCTCCTAAGTGCTGGGATTACAGGCGTGTGCCATCACACTCGGTTTTTGTTTTGTTTTGGTTTTTTGGTTTTTTTGCTTTTTGAGACAAGGTCTCACTCTCTAGTTCAATCTGGCCTTGACTTCTGTCAGTCCTCCTGCCTCTGCCTCCCAACAGGTGGGACTACAGGCATACCACCACAGCTGGATACATATGTGTTACTCTTAATCCACATGTGTATTTCATTGAGTTTCTCCATTGAGTTTTTTACTAATCATTTTTTCATCTGCTCTTGCACTCTTGTTTTAGCTAGAGTATTAAAAATATTGAGAAAATATCCATAGCATGGGTAATGTGATAGCTCCATGCTGTAATCCCAGCACTTGGGAGGCTAAGGCAGAAAGATTGCTGTGAGTTTGAGGCCAGCCTGGGCTACAAAATGAGTTTAAGGCCAACCTGAACTGCTATGAAAACCTGTCTCAAAAAGACCAAAAAAAGACTAAAATAAATAAAATAAAACTTGCCATTTTAGCACATTTTAAGTGTATAGTTTTTTGACACTAAACACATTCACAGTATTGAGCAGCTGTCACTACCATCCGTCTCCACATGTTCATCATTCCAGCCAGTAACTCTACACCCTTGTTATATGAACTCTCCATTCTCCCCTCCTCCCATCCTCTGATAACTTCTTTTACTTTCTGTCTTGAATTTCTGTCTTTACGTAGTTCCTGTATGTGAAATCATACAATGGTTGTTTTTTTGTGTCTGGCTTATTTTACTTGGCATAATTTTTTCAAAGTTCACATACAGCACTAGAATTTCATTCCTATTAAGTGTAATAATACTCCATTCTATGTGTATACCTGGCTGGAGTATTTTAAAATAGATTCTGTCTTTATGTCATATCATTTTGCTTGTAAAGTCATAGTGCTATTAAAAACTATTTTTTTACTTGTTGGGTTTTTTTCCAAGTGCTGAGGTCACGGGCGTGCCCTACCAGGCCCAGCATGATAAAGACTTTGAAAACCACTATTTTTTAACATTATATAGTATCTAATTCTTGTTTGTATTTCTGGTTGTTAAAAAAAAATAGCTTTTTGTGTGTGGTTGGTTTATTTATTTATTTTTGCAGTACTGAGGGTTAAACCCAGTTTTGTGCATGCTAGGCAAGCACTTAAGCACTGACCTATATATCCTCAATCTTTTTTAAAAGATTTTGAGACAGAGCCTCACTAAATTGACTACATAGGCTTCCAACTTGCAATCCTCCTGCCTCAACTTCCCAAATTACTGGGATTATGAGTGTGTGCCACCATGCTGGGCATGAATTAGACTTTATTTTGTTTTTGTTTTGTTTTGAGGTGGGACAGGGTCTTACTTTGTAGTTGAGGCTGATCTTGAACTCACTATGTAACCCAGCCTGCCCTTGAGCCTTCTGAGTGCTGCTAGGATTATAGGCATGCACCACCATATCCATAAACATCTAGATAGTTTTTTGTTGTTGTTTTTCTTTTTTGGTTCCGGGAATCGAACTCATGACCTCAGGCTTGCCAGGCAAGTGCTTACGCTGCTGAGCTACGTCCCCAGCCCAGTTTTTGTTATTTTTTGATTTTCTTTTTTTTTTTTTTTTTGCAGTGATTGAGATTGAACCTAGGGCCTTGCACTTGCTAGGCAGGTGCTCTACCTCTCAGCTATAACCTCAGCAGCTCCGATCTACAGCCTCAGCTTAGACTTTCAAAATTGTTTTGGAAACAATGCCTGTCTAGTTCTTTGAGTCTTTTTGTTAAAATATATGCATATGAACTGGATTTTAAAAATCTTAATTGCCTTTTTCTTTTGGCCTGTAGGCGACTTGGTGCTGAATTGGGGAAATCTGTTGTATACCAAGAGACCAATGGAGGTAAGTTATTTCTTTCTTTTCTTTTTTTTTTTTTTTTATAAAAAAATATAAAAGAAGGCCATTTATTATGGGAGAAAAGAGAAGAGAGAAGCAGACAGCTACTCCAGACAAGCAGGGAGCATTCAGAAGTGAAATACTCAGTAAGTTGTTTCTTAAAAATCTTTTCTACTCTCCAATGTTTAGTCAGCTGGCAATTTTTTTAAGCCTGCATGCTATTACAAAACAGTAAAGCAAGAGTGGTGATACAAGCCTGCAGTCCTGGCACTCTGGCAGGCTTAGGCAAAAGGATCACAAGTTCAAGTCCCACCTGGATAATTTAGTGATTTAGGAAGATCTTGTGTCAGAATACAAAAATAAAGAAAGGGCTGGGGATATAGCTCAGTGTGAAGGCCCTTGGTGCAATCTTTTCAATCCTTAATACTCCCCCCCCCCACAAAGAAAAGGACAGAGAAAGAGGCAGCTATTACTCAGAAACATTTTTTGGTTTTATGAGACTAGTTCTTACTATATATTTCAGACAGAAGCGTTTTATGTTTGACATTGAAGGTATGCATATTTGTTTTGTACTTGCCTAGGGCCTGACCTCCTTGTTCTCTTCTGATGTCTCCTTTCTTCCACAGTGATACAAATATCCTGTTGTTTTAAAATGAAAAAGGAGATAATACAGGTCTTTTTGAGACAAGGTCTCGCTATGCAGTTCAGGCTGGCCTTGAGCTCACTTTGTAGCCCAGGCTGGTCTTGAACTCGCAACGATCCTCTTGCCTGAGCCTTCCGAGTGCTGGGTTTAAATTAATCAGAGGAATGGTTGTTTTTTTTTTTTTTTTTTTTTGGTACTAGGAATTGAACTCAAGACCTTGCACTTGTCAGGCAGGTACTGTGCCACTGAGCCATCTTCCCAGCCCAAATTATTTGTGTGGGGTTTTTTTGTTCGTTTGTTTCGTTTTATTTTGTTTTGTTTTTAGGTACCAGGAATTGAACTCAGGACCTTGTGTTGCCAGGCATGCACTTGTGCCACTGAGCTATATCCCCAGCCAAATAATGTTCTGTCCAGTTTTTTTTTTTTGTTTTGTTTTGATTTTAGTACTGGGAATCGAACTCAGGACCTTGCGCTTGCCAGGCAGGTGCTTGTGCCACTAAGCTACATCCCCAGACCCTATATCTTCTATATTGGTTTGTATTTGATAAATACTTCTTACTTTCATGAATACGTACATTTATTTGTTTTAGAAGGTCATCAAATGACATCAGGAGCAATCTGATGCTTATATAATCCAAGCAAAGAGAGGGGCTAAGGCAGGAGGATTGCTAGTTTAAGTGCAGCCTGGGCAATTTAGCAATTTAACAAAACTCTGTCTCTAAAATTGTTTTAAGGCTGGGTGTGGTGGCCCACGCCTTTAATCCTAGCACTGGGAGACTGAGGCAGGAGGATCGTCTCGAGTTTGAGGTCAGCCTGGGCTACAAAGTGAGCTCCTGGTCAGCCTGAACTGCATAGTGAGACCCAGTCTCAAAAAGACGTATGTACGTACATACATACATACATACATCCATACATACATAAAAAATTGTTTTTTAAAAAAGAATTGTTTTAAAACCCAGCTGTGATAGTCCAACTGTAATCTCAACATGGGAGGCTGAGGCAGGAAGATCGTGCAATTTGAAGGCCAGCCTGGGCTACATAGTGAGTTTAAGTCCAGCCTGGACTGTAGAGCAAGAGCCTGTCTCAAAAAAACAAAACAAAACAAAACAAATTTTTAAAGGGCTAGAGGTATAGCCCAGTGTGAAAGCTTGGGTTCAATTTTTCATCTGACTCCCCCTCAAAACGTCTGGGGATATGGCTTAGTGGTGGAGCACCCTCAAAAGAAGACCTCTTTAAATTTTCCATCTTTAACTTTTTTTTCTTTATAGACTCTCACATTGAGTTGATAACCCACTTTTGCTTCCCTCTGGGTTGTGTGAAGAACTGTATTGTAATATTAACTGAGAATGCTTGAAGGTGCTTTGCTGATGGCTAGTGCTCCATAAATGCTGTATTATAACCCTCCTACTGTGGCCACATACTTCAGATTATAGTGTTCTTATTCATTGCAAAGGCAGAGTGGTGCAGGATCCTTTTGAATTATTTTTGCAAATTTCGAAGCCTAGGTGCTTTTCCTTTTTTGTCTACAGTTCCCTTTCTAAGATGTAACTGTCTGTAAAGAGTTTGCTGAGATTAATTATTAAGACTTAGTGATGGGTGGGGTCTAAAAAAAGCAAAGCTCAAGAGAAGGAAAAGATAGTTTAATGGGTAGTTGAGTGGAAAGTACACATTCTCAGGTATATAAGTCGCATGTGTTTAATTAACCCCACGTATTCTTCATCAGCTTCCACACTTTGAAGCTTTTTCCTTGGTGACTTGAAAACTTTATTAGCCAGTCTCATTCCTGTAATCCCAGCACTTGGGAGACTGAGGTAGGAGGATCGTCATGAATTTGAGGCCAGTCTGTGCTACATAGTGAGTTCAAGGCCAGCCTGAACTATATAGTGTTTTATTTTGTCTCAAAACAACAACAAAACAAAAACTTCACTGCCTGGGGAAATCAGGAGATATTAGTATCTAAAATCTGAAGCTGAATGTAGATAGGTGAAGTACTGTCTTTAGCAATCACCAGTTTAATTCCTAGTGATGTGTTAGGGGATCTCATGAAGTGAAGCGCTTAGGAAAGAGAAGACTGGAAATGAAGTTCCTTTTCCCCACCTCTCCATGATTGGGTTAGGCCTACTTATCTCTCTCTCTGGAGCAATAGCTTCCAGCAGGCCTTCCTGTCTCCGTTGCTAGCAGCTCTAAGTCCATTCTGCCTACCTCTACCAGACTAGTTCTTTTCTGTTTTGGCAGTACTGAGAGTTGAACTCTGGGCCTTTACACTGAGGTACATCACCAGCTCTTTTTCATTTTTTTACTTTGAGACAGTATTGCTAAGTTGCTCAAGCTGGCCTGAAACTATGATCCTCCTGCTTTAGCATGGGATTACAGGTATGCACCACCACATCCAGCTTCCACCAGAATGTTTATAAAATGCAAAGTTTTTGACTTATTAATCCTTCCTTAGTACAAGTTGAGTATCCTTTGAA